GCAATAATTAGACATGTTTTTTATTATTGTCATGAGTGATTATCTCTATTTTGGCTAAAAGACTTGACAAAATCCTACACATTGTGCCTTAAAGGGTCTGTTACACTGTAACGTTTTAAGCAACATATGTCAACTTGTGAAAAAAATAAACTCTGTTAAGAAAAGGCATTCACTCTTATCTTCTCCTCTGGTTGTTTTAAATGTTTCTTATTTTGAACCTCACAATATAAGATATAAAACATTTCTTAAATTCTTGTATTAGTAGTATTCATGTCTTTGTGTAACTTTAAACTGAACCAGACCAGAAGACACTGTGACTTTGTTTTACAATCATGATGTGCTGAGCTTTCATATGCAAACAGAAAAGGCACTGCCCTCAAGGCTGTCTCAAYTCATGAGCTGCATCCTCATGAGCGCACATTTTTCAGCCGCATACGTCACTGCCCCGTGCTGTCCCAATTCATACGCTGCTTCTCATGCAGCTAACAAATGCAGCCCACAAAATCTCATAAACAAAGGTAAAGGTRCTTRTATTGGTCATCAGTGTATGTTTCCATGCAATGACAAAATTTGTGCTCTGCATTTAACCCATCACACGTGAGAATCTATGTAGCCGAGGATAYTCCAGGATTCAATGCACCATCAGCAAACTAAACAGAGAAACAAAGATGGTGAAGACAGAGTCTTGTCTCTGCTCTGATGTAAAGAACCTTGGTGTTATTTTTGATCAGATACTGTCTTTTAACCACTGCATTAAAAATGTTACAAGGACTGCCTTTTTCCACCTGTGTAATATCACTAAAATTAGAAACATCTAGTCCAAAAATGATGCAGAATAATTGTTCCATACATGTATCACATCTAGGCTTGACTACTGTAATCCATTATTATCTAGGTATCTAAAAACTCTTTAAAAATTCCTCAGTTGATCCAAAATGAGTTGGAGTTCTAATGAGAATTTTAATGAGTTTTAGCTTTTCTCCGTAGACCCCCTGTCAAATTCACAACAAAAGAGAAAATTCTACTTCTAGCACACAAAGCTCTCAACAACCAAGCTACATTTCATATCAAAGATCCGATTGTTTTTATTAGGGGTTCAAGCTCACAGAGCAGGGGAACGCAGCAGTAGAGCAGTAGCAGTAGAGTGGTAGTAGAGCTGAAAAAAAAGTGAGGACTGGGAAGAGATCTTTAATAGTAACTATTTTGCAAGTGGTCCACTCTGCAGTAAAAACAAGTACACACATGCACACACAAGTACAC